TTAGGTTGCTGTTGGTGCACCAGCAGGACTACATGAAAAACGAGACAATGAAAAAGAGCGAGGGGGAGAGAGGCTTGTTTGAGGCTGTTTTATGTGTTCAGAAGCAGAATTTGTTCTCAGGACTCCTTGATTCACCGTAACTGTAACACTGGAGGAGAAAACCTGGTGTCTCTCAGATGTTTCCACAACGGCTCCCATCATTTCCAGCCAGCATGACAAATGATGGCTCATTGTGGGACTTTTAGTCCAAAAAGGCAGAGGACACCAGTTCCCATCCCTGAAGTGTAGCTGATCCCAGGGCGAGTGAGAGGTTTGCTCGTTGTATTTAGCAATCGGCACCTCCTGAGCAATGGGAGAGCAGAGGAGACGGCTTTCGGGGGCCCATGGTCCGGTTGCCTGTATGCTCCCACCAGTATTTGAGGCAGCATGTCTGGGTGCACCATGGGAAACACTCCTGGCCTCCTTATGGGACAGCTGGTTGGCCACTGTGCACACAGGATGATGGGCCAGATGGGCCCTCGGGGAGATCCACCGGGGCCTCCTTATCTGCTGAAAATCTGTCGGGAGCCAGAGGTGAGAGCAGCGGTGGAGGCACAGAAGGGGTGACCTAATATTCCACATTCCTTACATTGCGCTCCACCGAAAGCGGCAGCCTAATGAGAAGGATGGAGAGATCAAAGGCAGAACAAGGGCACTTAAATTAACCAGCTCAACTTTGCCCTACATTGGTAGGCAGGAAAGCCTTGGTGCCTTGATCATCAGTTGAGGAACTGTTGCTCTCCATCTGCTCTGCAGGCCCTGGGCAACTTGCTTGTTGAGGATTCATGAGGCAAAAAGGAACCCGCCAGGAGAGCTCTTTTCCTGCCGAACTGCAAATACAATGTTATTTGCCTTGGGAAGGGTTTCTGAGGTTGTTTTGTTTTTCAGATCAAGACTGAATGCAAGTTACATTTTGAATTTGCATGCCGGGAACTTTCTTGATGTTTCCCCCACAACCATTGTTCTAATGCTCAAAAGTGAAATATTAATAATGAGTTTCCTGAGCAAAGTTTAGGTCAGGTCAAGTCAAAAATTCACTCCCCCTCCTCCCTGCAGTGACAACCAAAGAAGCAAAAAGCGGTTTGTGCTCACAATGGACAGAACAGAAAGTCCAGCACAATTCCTTAAAAATATATAGACAGATAATGTTGTTTTTGCTTTTGGCATGTTGAAGTCTTGCAGGTTAATGAGAGACAGGGCTATTAGTCATCTGTCGGTCTCTGGAGAGACATATTCATTCATTTAAATAGTTCAGCTGCAGGACTAGTTCTTGGAATCTAAATGAACTGATGCTACAAAAGACTTCTGTATGAAACGGGGTCATCCTGGAGTGACGACGGGAGGACAGCCCCTTCTGCTTAGCCCTAGTTGTGACAGATATCAATAGAAGTGGTATATTTGGGCGAGTTTTCAGATATGCTCTTCAAAATCCGTGGGTTCGTTGGCAGTGTCTGGGGGTAATTGGGTTCTAGGAGCCAATTCTTTGAAATAACTAAGGTGCTCTGAGAGGAAATTACTTCCCTTTCTCTCTGCCGAATCTCCTGCCAGTCTGTTCCGTTGGGTGAACCCGAGTTCAATCGCTAAATGAGAAGGAGAATAAAACCTCTTCTCTTTCCCTTTTCTCCATAACCTCATGGGATCCACTAGCAGGATTTTCATTAAATCCTTGACTGCCTACGGCAAATGACACTGGCTCAGTATTAAAGAATCGTGAACCCAAGAATCCTATAACTAGTGGAGAGAATTTTATCAATGTTATAATCACTTTCAAAGTGGTGTTTTCCTCCAAAAGTAAGAAGCTCTCTTTTCCTGTTGGTGACCTAAGATTTTAAGGTTATGGCGGTACTGGAGAACAAGCTGGAGTATCAGTTGCTTCTCTCTGATCTTTAATTCATGAATGTTTTAAGAGGGCTGCTGCTTCTCTAACCAGTTTTTGTAACTAAAAATGAGGTGTCTGGCATGATTTTGATGGTTGGAATGTGTTTAGAATGGGAAGATGTGATGAGATGTGCAGAAATAGCTACTCGGGGAAGGCTTTTTCAAAATTACCCTTTTGAGTGGAACTTTTGCCCTCTATTAGGGTGAGGGGTTTGCACCAGGGTAGGGTTAGGGTTAGGAAAACGAGGTGTCCTGGCACGGTTTTGATGGTTGGAATGTGCTTAGAATGGGAAGAAATGATGAGATGTGCAGAAAA